TATATGCAAGTCACCTTTACATTTTAATGATAATGACCATCCAGAATGTTTCGCGAGGGCATGATACATCTATCCTCGTGTAAACAAAAAAATCAGATATGCTTTAAATGATTGCATTGAGATAGTCATTGTTCAACAATCGTTATTACATGATTTAAAAAACCAATGCCCGAATCGATATCGATCTCCTGACTTCCAGAAGAATCCAAGTGCAAGGAGATATGAATGTCAGTCTCATTTGTCTTTCGGCTCAATGTTGCAGCGCGCGTATTCGACATGGCGTAAGAAAGAAGTTTCCGAAAATGGCTTAGACCTAGACATGCCTAAAAGGTGTCACATAATTACGATTGTATTCCTGATTGTTCCATGCCTGAACTTGTGTGACGCGGACAAAGGCGTAAATAGTACTTGCCGTAAATCGTATATCGGTAACGTATCTACGATAATAAATTTTAAATTTATTATTAATTCTATTTAATTAGCAAATGATTTTTAATCATTATTCGCAATGGTAGTGTGTACGTTTAGTAAAATTAATTATATTTTAAAGGATAATAATTTATGATTATTTTCATTATTTTGTGTGAAATATTGAATGTCGATGATTTACTGTACATGTTATTGGCTGGATATGTGGAATGTATGTATGTTTAAAGTGAGCTGCCATTCATTTTGCTAAATCTTGTTTTGTTCGGCTTATGTTCTATTAAGATCGCGAGGTCGCGACGCATCACGTGTTGCATGATTATAGGCCAACACCCTAAATTATACTTAAAGATTTAGCCAAATTAGTCTATTTTTTTTCAGTGCTATTTACGCCCTGGACGCGAATCGATGCATATTGTTGCAAACAGGTTTTTTATTGTGCATGTGTGTTGTTGGTGTACAATAAAACAACAAGAAACATTTTTATAAATCATATTTCACTTCGTCTCGCGAGCTAACCGAGGCATAAGTTTCCTTGTTTCTCCTCTCTCTGTTAAACACGTGACTTTTTCCACAGTTTTATTGTTTTTCAGATTTCTTATGTAATTTACGGTACACCAAATAGACGTTGATATTATTTGTATCATTACGATTTGTAAATTTACTCGTTGGTCGTCTCCGATATAATGACTTCAGTTGCGTCTAATAATGTGCCGACAAGGAAAATGCCAAAGAAATCTAAGACGGGCCCGACGGTGCGATTACCGAAACCGAACATTCAGAGCGAGGGGATGAGGGAAAGATATGAAACCACGGCATCAAAGATATTCGATGAGGAGGTATGCAGATTCCTTGTGATATTAATTGTTTTTCTAATCTGCGCTTTGTCCAAGCTGTTTCAGGCTACGGATCTATGATCCCGACTTGACCGTATGTGAGTCACGAATTTCTAAACGTCCGGAGTTTTGTTCCGTAGGTCTTCGAAAAGAACCCTGAAACCACTAATACAAAACTGGACATCTTTCAGACATCCCCTTTTTTGCATGAAGACAAAACTGTCATTGTAAAGTGTCCTCCCCCACCGAAAAAAGATGAACAAAAAGAAAAGGATTCACACATCAGTGATGCTTTAGATGCGTTGAATGGAATGAGACGAGAAGTAAGTAGAATCTATCATTAATTATCACTCATAAGCCATTTTATCTTTATTATTAAAATAATTGGTCTCGCGGGCAAATCTGTGTAACTATTTATTTTGATGACGTTTAATGGTTATGCCCTATAAAAAATAGACGATTGTATTTTGGAAATCTATCTAACTACACAGAATTCAACATGAATACTGTAACTTATTTATTTTGTCTCGATGAAATAAAACAAGCCTTTGGCAACCCAAGAAGTTAATAGGTCATCATCGACTATGCCGATCACTGCCATAGAAGCATTAGAAAAGATATTTGGAAAAGTGCCGGAACAAAAGACTCATGGTTCAAATTATGGAAGGCTGGCTCAAGATTTTACTTTTCCACCAAGAAATAAATCCACAGCAGGATCTGGAAACAATGTTGCATCCTCTTCGAAAAAAGTCAGTGAATCTAATGATACTAAAGAATCTCCGGAAGAAATTGAAAAGAAGGAACGAAGGAAGAGTAATTTAAACGCACTGGCGAAGGAATTTACGCCTTCTTTTTTTTCTGGCAGCACATCTACCACCGAAGCCGATAAATCCGTTGATAAATCCGTTGATAAATCCATTGATAAATCCGCTGATAAATCCGTTGATAAATCCGCTGATACTTCGGATTCCAAGGATGACGATAGTAGGAAAAAGAAGAGCACTCGGAAGGAGAAAGTATAACCACTTCTTTTCTCTTATGATTTGTTACTTTTTCTTCGGAAATGTAATTAAAAGATAGATGTCTTTCAGCTAAACCATGATTTAAACGGTGACTCCGAGAACTCCTACCAGCATAACAAAAAAAAGCGCCCACAACATATTCTTAATCAAGAAGTCTTGCCATGTCCAGATAATGGTTCGTACGTATACGAACATTCATATTCCATGCGAGGACCGCCTACACCTTATCCATCTGTGCCATCACACTGGGAAGAATTTAATTCCAAGATGACTGAGGTTGTTAGTAAAGTACAGTCAGAGGTTCAAAAACAGATTGAGGCATTAGCAAATGAGATCAAGACGAGCATGATTGAACAAAATTCTGATGATACAGAGGATTCGTCGGTAAATCGTGATGTGAAAGATTCTGAAAGAGGGAACGAATCAGCAGAATTGATAGAGTTCCAGGAGACCTACATTCAAGAGTTGCGGAATAATCGTCAAGAAATACAATCTGCTCATGATGAATTACTGTCGCGATATGAGAAATTGCAGACGCAACACCTGGCGCTTCAAGCTGATCTTAAAGCCGCTCTTCAGGAGAGTCAGGGGGATGTTCAACGAACAAATTCCATCCAGCAGCGTCACATCGAGCTTCAAAATATGCACCAAAATTTGCAAGCACAATATCAACAAGAGCTTAGTCAGATTGATGAAATACAGGCGCGCCTCCAACAGTTGTTGTCCGAACAATACAAGATTCAAGAATCTCAACAGCAGTCTTATAATGATTTAACGCATTCTCAACGTCGTATCAGCGAGCTCGATGCCGATCTTAAGGAGTCACGCGCGAGAGTTGCACAGTTAACCGCCGAAAATGTTAAACATACTGAAGAAAATAAAACTTTAAATTCGACCGTTAGCGAGAAAAATTCGCTTGTTCGTGACTTACAGAATATGTATGAGAAGCTTTACGAAGAAAATCAGGCGTTACAACAACGTAATGAGAGGATGTCGCTTTCAGAAACCAACCATATGAAAAATATTAGTGACCTTAACTTGAAACTCCGTCAAACTGAAGTAGATTTTGAGTCGTCAAAGATTAAAATTCGTGAACTTGAGAACCTTATCGAAGATCTCAAAATCAAGGAGAATAGCTCGAGATCCATGTTGCAAGAAGTTGAAAACCAAATAGGTGAACTTCGTATACAGAAAACTCACCTGCAAGAAAAGCTTGAAATTCAATCAATGCAGATCAATAGCAAGAATCGAGAGGTGGAGGGTATAAACAAAGAAATAAAACGGCTGGGGCTCGAAAATTTGGAACTTGAAAAGAAAAGTAAAGATGAGCTTTTGCAAGCGCATATTACTATAAGTGAGCTGAATAATAAATTGACCGAATTGGAGAAAGCACATGATCATAACAAAGCCCTTGAGAGTCAAGTAGCCGAATATTCTCAAGTACGTAGTCATATGAAGGGTCTAGAGAAAAAAATCACAGAACTCGAGACAGAATGTGCCCAGGTGGAACGATACAAAAGTCACAATAATGAATTGGAGACTCAGTTGAAAGAATACCAACAGCGCATTAAGAATTTCGAAGATCGCACTGTTCTTCTCGAACAGAAACAAAAAGAACACGAAGCCGAAAGAGAAGAGGTTACGTTATTGCGAAGTCGCTGTGTTGAACTGCAAAAAGAAAAAGAAGTATCACTTCGATACACTCAGGAATTGGATGATGTCAAAAAAGAATTGCAACGCCTTAGTATTGATCTCCGTGGTAGAGACGCAGAATTGACAGCGGTAAAACTTGAAAGGACCGAATTGAAAACTCGCCTAAATGAAGTTGAGCTTGAAAGAAGCAAATTGGTCAAAGAAAATAGCACGTTACGAAGCAATCCGATTATCGCAAGCAATATTAATCATAATTATGTATCTCCCGCGGATACTCCGAATCAGGAACTCGATATAGCGTATGGTGGCTCGTTTGAGCAATATCCTCAACAGATATTCAGTCAACCCTCTAATTTTATACCCAACTTACAGTCGTACCCTGCTCCTACACCCAATGTTCGTTATACCCCGTTGCAACAGACACATGTGCAAACTCCGATGCAGCTCCCGCCCCTTGTTCCGATGTCACCTAAGAGTCAACAACCTATTATGAGTCAACTAACACACGCTGGAGTGTCACATCCATATCAGGCTCAGATGAATCACCCACCAACATTTGCGCCTCAGACGCAGTTGCTAAGTCCAATTTCGACCCCCCAAGTCATGCACCCTACAGTCAATCTACCTCATCCAACACCAATACACACAAACAATTACACATCACAACAGACGCAAAGTCAAAATCAACATCAAGAACCATCTCTACA